TAGATTACCGGATGCTTTTTTTTTTTCTCCTCCAAACCCGGTAGAAGCACCTCTATCCTTTTATAACATTTTGTTTACCTTCTTCTCATGGAGACATGCATGAACCGATCACTTGATCTGGTGTCTCACGAGCTGATATTTTGAATATTCTAATTATACAATACTTAATCTCTGTTTTCAATTGTATTTATCCATGACACGTAACAATGCCCATGGTGAATTTGTTTTTTATATGCAATACTGTATGTCAATACTTATCTTCACATTTTGTTAATACTGATTCATTTGTACTACTCCTTTGCCTTTATAAAACATACAAAAATATACAAATAACAAATTCAATAGAAAAAAAAGCTATTTGAGATTCTTTCTGGTAAGTGTTAATGCCAGTTAATAATTGTGAAGATTCTTTTAAATAGTTATCAGTATCCATCTGTGCTATTCCACCCACTTTGTCTGCTTGTTTTATAACTATCATTTTATCACTCGTAAATCTTTGAGAGCTTTTAGTTCCTCCTTATTTAAATTTGTTTGATACTGATTTTATTCTTTAATCTCATTAATGTCTTGCATAACTACTCTTTCAAAAGTAATGATTTCTTCTGAAATAAAATGGGTAGTGTGACGAGAGCAATCTCGCCACATTGCATTGGAGAAGCCTGGTTGCTTGCCTGTTGCCTTTGGATTATGGCCCCATGTTAAACGACTTCTTTCCCCTGCAGAAAAGGCTTATTCGTGTCTTTCTGCCTGGTGGTCGGTAGATTCAATCTACCGAACTGGCGTACGAATGACTGGACCACCTGGGAGCTGGAGTGTGTCTGCAATTAACCTCCCAGAAGCTGCGGTTAACCGCAGCTTAATTGACGAATGCTGAGTGGACTTTGTTCGGCTGCCGAACACGTGGCGGCGGCCATTTTAAAGTCCAGAACGGCCAGCGGTGTTCAGCGCCCAAACTGTGGAACTGTAAACAGACACTTATTTGCGCGAACACTGCTGAGCCGTCAGCCTCCTTGCTTCTGCATTCGGTCAGTTAACCGAATGCCTGTTCATTCGGTAGTTTAAACCGTTTGAACAGCATTACCCCAGATAGCCATCCCGTGGAGTCTATTCATATGGATAACAGACTTTAGGAACACTTTAACTCCACGGCGATTGGACTGCGTGCATTGGATCTGAGCGCTATTCGGTACTTTTGTGCGCTCAGATCCCAGCTATCTGGGGATGGGTTGCAAGTATATATTTTGTGTGATAAATTTAATATTGTGTATTTTATTGTGTTTTAGTGTTTTACTGTAACCATGTGGTTAATGGAGTTTTGCCTCTGTCCTGGGAGATAATTGGATTACTTCCCAATTATCTCCAGGACAGAGGGAGGGAAGTTAGGATGCATTGTGGGGATGTTTTACCTATGTGTGTCTGTCATTGGTTCATGTCTGTCCTTTGTCACAGTCTCCCATTTGGTCCCCTAGGGGAGTGTCCACCAGGTGGGAGACCTGCATAAATACTGGGCAGGTAGCCCTCATTAAACCAGACCACTGCTTGACCATCAACACGGAGCTCTGTCTCGTCTTTGGGGGGATTTACTGTATGCTGTTAGAGACTGATTGCCAGGAGTGTAAGCCACTTGGGTGCTTTTCCTGTTCGTCTGCTAGCAGCTATTCGTGAGGTTCCAGTTCGGGAGTTTGGAGTGCTACTTTGTATGCAGTTCGGGAGTTTGAAGCATTCCCTTGTATGTAGTGATGTCGCGAACACGAAATTTTCGGTTCGCGAATGGCGAACGCGAACTTCCGCAAATGTTCGCGAACTGGCGAACCGGGCGAACCACCATAGACTTCAATGGGCATGCGAATTTTAAAACACACAGGGACTCTTTCTGGCCACAATAGTGATGGAAAAGTTGTTTCAAGGGGACTAACACCTGGACTGTGGCATGCCGGAGGGTGATCCATGGCAAAACTCCCATGGAAAATTACACAGTTGATACAGAGTCTGGTTTTAATCCATAAAGGGCAGAAATCACCTAACATTCCTAAATCACAATCAATATGGATTGACACCTGACATATGACATATTGACACCTGGACATATGGATTGACACCTGTCCTCAGAGCCCCTGATGCACACGGACACAGAGCAGAATATGGACTGTTGCCCCTACATAGGGTCACTTGGCAGATATGGATTGACACCTATCCTAAGGATCCCTGATACACACTGACAAAGAGCAGAATAGAGACTGTTCCCCCTATATAGGGTCACTTGGCAGGTATGGATTGACACCTGTCCTCAGAGACCATGATACACACTGACGCAGAGCAGAATAGAGACTGTTCCCCCTACATAGGGTCACTTGGCAGATATGGATTGACACCTGTCCTCAAAGCCCCTGATACACACTGACACAGAGCAGAATAGGGACTGTTCCCCCTACATAGGGTCACTTGGCAGATATGGATTGACACCTGTCCTCAAAGCCCCTGATATACACTGACACAGAGCAGAATATAGACTGTTCCCCCTACATAGGGTCACTTGGCAGATATGGATTGACACCTGTCCTCAGAGACCATGATATACACTGACACAGAGCAGAATAGAGACTAATAGGTCACTTGGCAGATATGGATTGACACCTGTCCTAAGGATCCCTAATACACACTGACACAAAGCAGAATAGGTACTGATCCTCCTACATAGGGTCACTTGGCAGATATAGATTGACACCTGTCCTAAGGATCCCTAATACACACTGACACAAAGCAGAATAGGTACTGATCCTCCTACATAGGGTCACTTGGCAGATATGGATTGACACCTGTCCTAAGGATCCCTGATAAACACTGACACAGAGCAGAATGGGGACTGTTCCCCCTACATAGGGTCACTTGGCAGATATGGATTGACACCTGTCCTCAGAGACCATGATACACACTGACACAGAGCAGAATAGAGACTGCTCCCCCTACATAGGGTCACTTGGCAGATATGGATTGACACCTGTCCTAAGGATCCCTGATACACACTGACACAGAGCAGAATAGGGACTGTTCCTCCTACATAGGGTCACTTGGCAGACATGGATTGACACCTGTCCTCAGAGCCCCTGATACACACTGACACAGAGCAGAATAGGGACTGTTCCTCCTACATAGGGTCACTTGGC